AGGAGATGATTTCATGAAAGCAGTGGATTTCAAACTTTAGTGAACATCATCAGAATCATGATTTTGCAAACTGAAAAGTTTTCAAAATCGTATGGGCAGATTTATCACCTGCCCACATTTTCTCAAATTTAGCACTCAGGACATTACACACTGCCTGTCTACTAATTGTAGGCATTTACATTTATTTGCTAAAGGGCTTTATCTAGCTTCTTGAGATAGGCTGTATACTCACATGGCAGGGGAATTGCTGAAAAATGAATACTTTCTGGAAACAGTTTGTACCAACAGCTAACAAGAATGAGTGTATAAACATCCCAGTTCCCCCATCATCTGGTAGGCCAGCTCTGTAGTCCCTGGGTTCCAGAGTAGTCTAGTGGGATTAAGCTACAGGAGCCCACAATGACAGCTGACTTGATAATGTGCCTTAATGGGCTCACCCACCTCCTAACTTTCATTTGACCCCTGAAACTTCCTTCTATTAAACTACTTGTCCTGACCTCAGGTACAACCAAAGTTGTACATTTGGGAAAACTCACATAAAGCCACTCTGCCATAGGTACCCCTTCAGGAAACCTCTTTCTTCACTCCAGCAAGTTCTGTGAATTGACTGCAAACCATGTACCTCACCTGGCCCTGTCAATCAATATCATATATATGATCTTGCTTCTAGTAGCCTGTGCCTTAGTACCCCGAGCAAACTTACACAGTACACTTAAACACCACTTGTGGAGGGTTTAGCTAGCCATATATTATTGTCTTCGTTTCCCAAAGATGCAAATTTCATTCCCAATTGCCTCTGAGTTTTTTTCAGTATTGGAGCTTCATGTTGTCAATATTCTGCCTGGGTGAGTAGCTTGCAAAGATTTTGCGTATTTAGAAGTGCCCCAAAGCAGGAATTGTGGCATAAACCTCCATGTGTGGCTACATATCACAGTTTGAGTTAAATGGACCCCAAACATATGGTATTGTTGGCTTTTTTTTTGCATTTTTTTCAACACATGGGTAGTTTCTCACATTTTAATTCAACTGAAAATGAGATGATACGAGAATCTTCTTGGAGGATTAACCCATTAGGAAATTTAGCTTGCAGAAACATTTGGACTGAGATAGATGATGTTGTCAATCATTTTCCAAAGACTCATTTTATATTGCAGAAGATATGAAACTACAGGTGGATGATTGTGGAATCTTCCCGAAGATGCTCTCTCTGACCTGGGCTACTGCACAGGTAAAGCAGGGCCATAGGGTTGGGCTCAATGAACAATGAGGTACTAGGTAGCCTCAGACCTTTCCTTGTGATTGTGGAGACCATCTCTCTTTCTTTACCTGAGTGTTTTTATCAGTCTGGGAGGAATATATTGTGTGTGTATGAGCCTATGTCACTTCGCAGGGACTTCCAGATAGAGCCTTTGGACACACTCCAGAACTGGCAGAATGGATCTCTTCCCTAATCGATCAGATTCCAAGTAGGATTTAATGATGGCCCCATTCTGAGTTTCAAGAGTCAAGGATGATGCAAAGCTAAGCATTTGAATCACACTTCCCCCAAGGAGAGATCAATTCTATTCATTTCTCAGAGGGCACTCTGGGAAAAAAAAGGCAGTGGTAGGCCTGCAGGAAACCTGTTCTGGGCAGGAAATGATCAATGGGGACAGGAGAAAAATCAGCCTTCTTAAGTATGTCTTACTTGAGCAGTTCACTCTGTCCTGGCTGGTTTCCAGACTGACAGCAGTGGAGCTATCTTCATTACTGAAATGGGACTCCACTGAGGGTGGAGTGGGGGTGGGTAGGGGGGGTTTCTTCCTCTGACCCTGGGGCCCACGGTGTGAACAACAAAAGTGCAGATTCAGGGCATTTTTCAGATTTGATTCCTGTCTTCAGAGTCTCTTCCTTCCCCCCTAAAGGAATGCACATTAGTAAGGGGGCTTATGGAAGGACCCATTTACACACCTGTGTTACTTCTGATGATTTGGCTGAAACAGATGCCACTGGTCTGCAGCTTGGGAGTGGGGAGGGCTCTTTGGTGTTACAGCAGGCTGCTGAGCTGCACCCCTCTGCAGGAGCAGGAAGGCATTCTGCTGGGAGGCAGAAGTGTCCCAGGCTTTATCCTTAGACCTGTGACCAAAGAGCCCAGCAGCTCCATTTCTGTATCAATGGGGGTTCTTGCATTCTCCCCATTTCAGCAAGTAAATAGCAGCTGCTGATATAGAAATTTGAGGGTGCGGGTTCCTATTTAATCTTTTTTACCTCCCTTCTTCCCTCCAAAGAGGAGGGAGGGATGAGAGAGAGAGAGAGAGAGAGAGAGAGAGAGAGAGAGAGAGAGAGAGAGACAGAGAGACAGAGAGAAACAGAGAGAGGGAGGAAGGGAGGTGGAGAGAGAAGAGAGAGAAAGAAGCGGGTGGGAGTCTTGGGAATAGCTTCCAGCACCTCTGGGCTGACCAACAAACAAACGCTCCTCACTCAAACAGCACCTAATAGGGATCTGGAAGAGGGAAAGGAAGGGAAGAGAGGAAAGGAGAGAACAAGACTGAAGGCGGACAGTTTCCTAAGCTGGAAACCTGGAGATTTTTCTAAGTGACAAAGTGGGGGTGGGGACCGGGTGGGTGAATGGGGGGAAAGAAGGTGGACAGTGACATCTGTCTTCTCAATGGAAACTTCACCCAGGCACGCCAGTCTTCGGGAAAGCTACAATGGGGGAGTGGATGGCCGTTTTGAAGTCCTGATTTCTGGTTCTACTACTTTCCAACCACATTTCTAAGCCTTGGTTTCTTTCTTTAGCAGTCCAGAGAGAACACTTACTTGGTCCTCTTAAGGCTTAATAATACGCAGGTCGGTGTCAGATACCTGGCCGGTACATGATGCCGGTGAAGTTGTTGATGCCTAAGAAGGTGAAATTCATCGCAGAAAAGTCGACGGGGCGAACAGGACTTGTCTGGCACAGTGTCTGGCCTCTTTTCTTTCACCCCGGCTCCGGGGGGAGGAGGACGGAGCTGTCCAGCTGTCCAACTCTCCTCCCGCGTCCTCAATGCTGGAGAGCCCGCCCGGAGAGTGGCGCTTTCCAAGGAGCTCACCAGCGGCCAGGACGAGCCGCCCAGTCCCGGGCTCCGGCTGCAGTTGCGCGCGGCCGCCTCTAGATGGAACTTTCTCACCAACGCTGAGCCGCGCGGCTCCCGCTACCTCCCCGGGCGCAAGCCGGAGAGGGGGCTCCCCGCAACCCTGTCTCTCGCCCTGGCAGGTGCCTGGGCGATAACTCCTAGGAAGGACCGCTACCTAGTGTACGCAGAGCCCCGTCGTCCGCAGCAAAGGGAATCCCGAGGTCCCCCCCCGCCCCCCGCTCCCCAGCTGCGGAAGCCGGGGAGCCGCGCGGCGCGGGTCCCCAGGACTTTCCTGAATCCGCCCCTGAAGGATGGTCCCTGGCACCGCTCCAGCCACCTTCCAGGTATAAGGAAGAAAACTGGACCTTTTTACGCCATCCTTGAACTCTTGGGGGCGCGCTCGAAAGAACCCCACCTCCACGGGAGCCCCGGGAACGGGGTTGGAGCTCGGCGGGGGGGCGGGGGATCACAGTGGTCCAAGCTGCAAAGCTCATCAAATGACCACACAGCAGCGCGCCCCGAGGCAAACTTTGCGGGGAGTCCGCGCAACTGGCTGGCTGGACCGAGCGCATCACCCCGCTCCTCTTCTTGGCAGGGGCGTGGTGACAGGACACATTGGTCATTCCTCCTCCCCCGCTCCCACCCCACCGGATTCTCCCACGGCGACCCCTTTCGGAGCTGCGCTTCAGAAGGGGCGACCACCCTCCTCTCTCCCCCCCCCCAGCGTGCGGGGGCCGACGACGTGCTCTGGGTGGCCGTGGAGCGGCGCCTTCCCGCGCGGGTCCCGGGCTCGCAGGCAGAAGTGGAGCCGCTCAGGCTCCTTCCCAACCACGTCCCCCTTTTCTCTGCTCCCGCAATTCTGCCCCCCTTCCCGCCGTCTTTTAAGGGCCTCCCTTTGGGTTGGGGGCGGGTGGGGGTGCGGTTTCAAAGCCTCAACTATTGGCATCTCGGGTCTCCGCGGCGCAGCCGGCCCAGGTGATGTAGCACCAAGAAGGGGAGAATCCGCCGGCACAGGGTCCGCCCCCACCACTCGCTAACCCCCCGCCCCCTTACCCCCCCCCCCCCCCCCCAGTTCCCGGGCAGCGGCGGGACCGTGCTCGGTGACGGCGAGACCCAGGGGCTCCCGCCCCTCGGGGTTCCTCCTCCCGCTTCCCAGGGCGACCGGTGGGCGCGAAGCGATTGGCAACCCCGGGCGCGATCCCGGCCGCAGCTCCCCGCGCCACGCGGGGGGGAACGGCCGCGGGTGGAGGATCGGGAGGCGCCGGGCGCAGACCAATCGCGGCGGCCGGTGGGAGTATTTGTTATTCACATGGAAGAGACTTGGCGCCGGCAGGGCCAGCTCAGCCCCCTCGGCCCCGAGACCAGCCACAAGTGCGGCCGCGGTGCTTGCCAGGCGCGGCGGCGGCGGCGGCGGCGGCGCTGACATGGAGCTGCGGGCCCCCCGCGGGCTTCCTCACCGCGCCCTCTGCGGGGAGCAGGGTAAGACTCGCCCCGCAGCCGAATGAGGAAAAGAGGAAAGAAAGCAAGTGCCCAGCCACCGGGGGAAGAAAGAAAGAAAGAAAGAAAGAAAAAGCCAAAAATAAAACCAATGCCCCCAACCCCAATTCCTAACTCCCTGCAAACGCTATGCTAGCTGGAAAAAAAAAAAGAAGAAAGAAAAGAAAAAGACGGTCCCTGCTCCCCCCCCCCCAAAAAAAAAGCTTTTCTTCTCGAAAACCGCTCCGTGGACAGCCAGGTGCATCGTTCTGTTATCACTTGAGTGATTTTGCTTTTTTCTGGGCACAAGTAGATAGAGGATGACCCTGCACAGCCGGGATCTGAAGGGAGCGCTGGCGGGTGGCGGCGACGGGGATGGGGGGCGAGGGAGAGTGGGCAGGCACCAGGGGGCGAGGGGCTGGCCGGGCATTGGAGCTTGATTGGGCGTCTGTTGATTTTACGTGGCAAAGAAGAAGGCAGCCACCCCGCTTGTCTCTCCGTAATTACATCCCCGCGAAGAGAGATTCAGAAAAGCGGGAGGCTGAGCTCGGAAACTCCAGGGCTTGAAGGTGTGATCCCCCAAAAGTTTAGTCGGCGAATGGGAGACGGAAGGGGGACGGGCAGGGGGCAGGCGCGCCCGGGGTGCTCGCATGGGGCGCGCGGCGGTCGCATCTTGAAAGCGCTGCTCGTCGGATTGTCTGCCCCGGTGACCTCCCGGACCGGCCCCGGCGGAATCCGGACTTGCCCCGCCGGGATGACGAGGTACCACGGTTCTGGGAATCTAGCGGGAGGGAATCCCGAAGTTAGAGGCTTCCCGGATGAGTTGGGGTAACCCCCCCACCTTCCTGAGCTTGGGGTTGGATGAATGGCTATCTAGGAGCTAAGAAAGGTGGTGGTGGTGGGGTCGGTGGTTTTTTTTTTTTTTAGATCCCACATCACCGCACGTTTTGCCTTGACTTTGCGTTCTGCTGGGGACCCCCCCCGCGAGCTGGGGATTTCCGAACTCCCCCTTTTGTGGCTTCCGTGAAAACACTGGAGTTTCTTGCCCTACTGGGGGTGGGAGAGATGAGGAATGGTCGGGGCTACCTGGAGTTTAAAAGAGCCGAGGCAGAGGCGCCCGGCAGCTCTTCCGAGGCTCCGGGGCCGGCGTGGCCGGGTTTCCCGCGGCGCAGGGGCGCGGGGCGTGGGCTCTCGCGGCCGCCAGGTGCGGCGGGGGCGGAGGCGCCCGCGAAGCTGGATCCCTGGGAACGCCCCGGGACTCGGGCGGCGCCGGATTCGCTCGCGGGGCGCAGCAAAGGCTGGGGGAGGGTGGGATGGGGGAGCCGGACTTTTCTAAGGCCTTGGGCTCCTCGGATCCTGCTTCAACAGCCGCCCGAGGAGCTGAGAAGAAACAGGAGGATGCGGGGAGCGGGGGGGAGGGAGCGGGGGAGAAGAGGAGGAAGAGGAGGAGGAGGAGAAGGAGGAGGAGAAGGAGGAGGAGGGATGAGGCAGAGAGAGAGAGAGAGAGAGAGAGAGAGAGAGAGAGAGAAGAGAAGAGAAGAGAGGAGAGAAAAAAGAAAAAGAGAGGAGAGAGAGAGGCGAGAGTAGGGAGAGAGAGAGGAGAGAGAGCGAGAGCGAGCCCAAGGAGCCACGCCAAGAACGGGCTCCAGGACTCTGCCCGTTGAACAGCTCGGTGATCCCTTGAGGGTCTTGCAGTTGGTGAAAATAGAACGGAATCACCCAACAAACAGAACCCCGACAACCCCCCCCTTCCGCCCCCACAAAAAAACAAAAAAGCCAAACCATCTGTCTGACTTGCTCCCTTGGTGCAAATGAAATGCAGAAAGGCGCGCGATTCACCCCGCTGCGCAACACGCCCCCCCCCCCTTCTCCCCGAGCCATTGCTCTCTCCACGGCCACTGCAAAACCAGGGTCCCAGGGTGTCCACGCGCCCCGATGGTAGATAGAAACGGTTCCCCCTCTCCCGGTCTCCCGGTTCTCCAGTTGCAGAAGCCCAAACACTTGTCCCCTAAGCGATTCCGCCCCCTGCCCCCCAGGAGGGAAAGCCCTGTTTGCCATTTGGGGGTGATCCTTTCCCACAGACCTAACGGTGTGGGAACCTCGAACACCCAAGAACATACTCCCTACTCGACCACTACCGTGATTGAACACAAATGGTGGTGGAGATATTGACAAGAAACATCCGCGGGAGAAATGCATTCCGATGAGAGCTGGTATTTTGCTTGGAAGAAAAAAATAAAAAAAGGGAAAAAGAGCCCCCAGCAGGTAGATCTGGGATAAACAGCCTACTGCACTTGACTGTAATTTCCATTTTCCGTTATGAAATTGTTTGTCAATAATTGCAAATGGCTACAGAAACCACTTTAGTTTACCTTGGTCACTTGCTCGTGAATAATGTCTTGAAAGATCTTCGACGTCGGAGGCGGCATCTGCTGTGTGCAATTCATTGTCTGGTTTCGGAAAACATGTGGTTTGATTATTTTGAAGAGAAAAGCTATCTCCGTCAGGGAAAATGAAGTAAGATTTTAAAATGCAATTTTCCTATTGTGGAGTCAACTACAGGTTGTGTATCATACCTGAGATAAAGACAGGGAGTTCCTTCCTTTAAATCAAGGCTGTGGGGGAGAAACTGATGAGGAGTGTGTGTGGAGTGGGCGGGGAGGGGGAGATATACCCACAATAAAGGAAAAAATGCTGAGAAACGCTGCATATTGTTACTTAGGCTTAATTTGTTTTATTCGAGTTTTGCTTGCTAGTTTGCCCTATCACTTCCTTTGCAAATTATGGCTACTTGAATAATTCCCCAACAGTAAACTCTGAAAAGCACAGAGAAAGGAAGAATTGAGCCCCAGTGAATGCTGGACAAAGTAAGAGGTCTGGAGAGAGGTGTTCTTTTCGAAGTTAACAGGCAGATGGGAGCTGCTCTGAGGCTCATAAACAAGCTGCCATTCATATTGGCATCACCCCGTCCCGATCTTGATGTAAAATTGTTCCATTGTGTTTAGGACATGAGTCACTGAACACTGGACATACATATTCGTGATATCAATGATATTCCTTCCGAGTTTCTTTCCACCTGTCTTCCTTCTGTGGTTAAAATAAAATACTCGACGGTAAAACGGACCTTACATAAGTCTGGGGAATGGAATTTCTGTGCATCAATGTCTTACGAAAGAAGATGCCATGTAGATTTTTCTCTAAATCAGGGCCATGACAAATACTTTAGGGCAGCAGAGGTTCAGGGATAAAATCCCCTTTACTGTAATCCCAAGGTCCGAGTAGTCCCTGGAGCCAAAACAGTTTAGGTCTTGACCTAGAAATGGGCAGCAAAAATGCACCGAGAAGAACAGAATAAAATAGTTTATGACTGGACCTGAGTGGTAGTACAGACGGTAAGGTCCTACCTTGCATGCTGACAACCCAGGTTTGATCTCCGGCACCCCATAGAGTCCCCCAGTCTCTGAGCACAGAGCTGGAAGTAAGCCCTGAGTTTGGCTAGGTGTGTCACCGACCCTCCAAAGGAAAAAAAAACCCACAAAAAGAACCCAACCTCAATAGGAGTTTCTGGAAGCAACTTGGGCAAGAGTAGACATTTGCCATGAACTTTGTACTTTAAGGGTGCCTGGTGAAGGACTGTGTGAAATATCCTAGTCTCTGCTCCTGATATATCCAGTGAATGCAGATGTGCTGACTAACAGTCCCTAGTGTTTCTGTCAGCTCAGGGTTGATGATGGTGGGGGAAGCAATTGTAGCAAATACATGGCTAGCTTCTTTCTCATGTTTTCTCAGCGATGCCCAGGTCACCCTACCATGTGGACAGGGGGCAGGAACTCGCAGGGGTGTGTGTGTGTGTGTGTGTGTGTGTATCACCTTATGTGTTTGTCTCATTCTCTGTGACCAATCCCAGCTGGAGAGAGGTCGAAGGTGCCAGTTGGATTGACATTAGAAAGTTAAGGGTGAGTAGGGCTACAGACTGAGGCTGGTCAGAATCATTTTGCTTCCATGCCAGGAAGGGTTGGGTTTTCTCTCCGTTTATTCCCTACCTTTCATTTTATTTCCTCCTCTCTTGATTCAGAGATGTTGTCTTTGATTTTCAGTTTTCCCTGATGCTTTGACAGGCTGTAACAAACTTCCTGACTAGGTAGGATTATGAGCACCTTATAGTTTCATTACAGATTCTGAGGATTCTTTTATTTGGGGCCACACCTGGAGGTGCCCAGGGGCTACTCCTGGCTCTGCACTAATGGATCACTCCTGATGGGTTCAGGGGACCATATGAGATACCGGGGATCGAACCTGGGTTGGCTGTGTGATAGGTAAGCTCCTTACCTGCTGTACAATCTTCCTGGCCTCGGGATCTGGGGATTTTGAAGTATTTCCTCAGGAGTGGAAGAGCCCTGCTGAGAGTCTCCTGCCCTGAGATCATTCCTGGCTTTGTCTTGTGACACAGGTAGTCTTGATCACTCTTAGAGACATTATTATTTTTTTCCATAAAGAAAGTATGAACCTCCTGGAAAGTTTTATAAATTCAAAATAGTTCAGTTGGGTGAGGAAAGTGCTGCCTCGTCAGATGCTAATACTTGTTCATGACTCTCCCTGGCCAAGGAAACAGAACCAGGTCTTCAGATTGTGATAGGTGATGTGACCCAGGGGTGTTGAGGGAGAAGATCAAGATCTGGGGCTGGTGGAGCTGCTGAGCTTAAGTCGGGAGATACAGGAGAGATATGAGCAGAGTCAGGAGCAGATTGCTAAGTTTTGTCATTTTCATCCTTTTCCTGCAAGGTTATGTCTCAAGAAAGAACACTGGTGGCAGTTTATTGGTGTACATTTCTTTTTTTAAAAAAGTTATGTTTTTTTTTTTAAAGTAACTGTCATCTACAGAGTTATTGATAGCTGAGGGCTAACATTTCTTTCTGACCCTAACTTTCTAGCGTGTTTGCTTTCATTAGTGATAATGACCTGCCTTGGTAGAAGATCTGCATTGCACGATACTTACAATTTCAGAGAATTTACTGTTGTACCAAAGAATAGCATGCCACTGCCTTCTTCACAAGGAAGAACAACCCCTTGGATGCTCTGAGTACCAGGCCCTTCAGTTCTCCAGGACAGAGGCTGTATTTCAAGGCACATCATTTGATAATTTTTTTCCCTCCTATGACCATTTCCCCAATTTTATTTGGATTCTGTGGGCACATGACTAGGAAGGTCAGAAAAGCCCTGAGGGTTAAATTGGGAAGTGTCATCTAAATGCAATACGCCGGTGAAAGGAGGTCTTAGGACTGAGAGTTAAACCCATACATCCCTCTACATTCCTATAGAAGTTAACAGATAACAAGTACTTTTATGCTTAGTACGTCACATCATTTGATTTCACAACCCTGGGAAGTGGCAGAAATCATTCTTCAGTTTAGAGACAAACTGAGTTCAGTTTAAGTGACTCATCTAGTGCCAGATTGTGAGTCCTGGGAGGGAGTGAGGTTAGATCCAGGGACTTCTCTGACCCCATAATGAAACACTCAGCACCTTGCATTGCTACTGCTAAGAAGCAGAGAGGAAGGTAGAGAGCGTGGCAGCTACCCTGCCTTTGAATTTTGACCAAGATTTGAGGCACAGTTGTACATTTTTAGCTTCTTCCTATCCCTGCTGGGGACTGTGAAACTGGTTTTGTAGGTGTATTTAGTGAAAGAAATGGCGTAACGTCTGTGAAGCCTCTGGCCCAGGGTAGCATTCAAAAATGACTTCACTACCTTTCCTTCATCTTA